GAACCCCGTTTTCACCGAGACGGGGAGACGGGGGCTAGAGGAGAGGGAAGGTGTGGGCCTTGGACCTCCTCGGGGCCTCATGAGGGACAAGAGAGAAGAGAACAGAGCCTGGGCCGGGCCAGAGCCATGGATCTTGTGACTGGGGCAAAGAAGAGGAAGGAGACAAAAACTGGGCTACACATGAAGGCATTTGGAAGCAAAACGGTAAGCAGAATAAAATGAAAATGAAAAATGAAAAATCAGAATGACGTGGAGTTGGAGGGAGGGACAGGGACCTAAATATTATCTGCTCAGAGGATCTGTATTCCTCCTTATTTAATGACACGTGACTCCTTCCTGCCCTACCCCTCACGTCCCCGCACGGCAGGTGTTAGGTTCCAGCATCAACTCTTAGGAGGGTAGCTGCAGTGGATTTGTGGCCACGAGCTCCAGAGAACAGGTTTCCATTGGTACCACTGACCCAGGGAGATGGGTTCATGGGCAAACCTTGAGAGCTCTTTGCGTTTTTGTTTCTGGAAGGGTAGACCGTTTTCTCTCCCTGGATTACATTAACTGCCAAACAGCCAGGTGTTATGGTAACCAGCAGAGGGCCGCCTGTTCTGGAATTTATGAGCTGTGTTGGCTCACAAACAGAACAGTCCGAAGGTAGGCATGACTGGATGCAAGACTCACGTGATTTCCTCGGAAAGGAATTTCTTTCTCTATTTCTCACTTAACGTTTCCCTGGCAACAGTGTCATTTGCGGCCCCTTATGTGGTTCCCAGACCTCTATCCTTCCAGATCCGAGTCCAGTGCAAAAGAGCAATTATTTCTATTCCAGCTCCAGCAAAATCCAGTCTAGACCAGCTCACGGGAACATGATATGCTGACTGCCGAGGCCCAGGTCATGTGTTTTCACTGGAACTATCTGGGCAGAGAGTGGCTAAGAGGGGGTCCCACTGAGGAAATGTGGCTACAGTGAACAGGAGACCACTGGTAAATGGATGCTGGAGAGCCCAAACCACAGAAGCCACAGCATCTGGCTTAGGTCCAGAAACTCTTGGTAGGGTCAAAAAAAATTTTTTTTAAGATTTTATTTATTTATTTGAGAGAGAGTAAAAGAAAGAATGCATGAGAGTTGGGGGGGGTCCGAGGGAGAAGAGACTCACCGCAGAGTGGGGGGGGGCACGATGTGGGACTTGATCATGGGCTTCTGGGATCATGACCTGAGCCGAAGGCAAACACTTAACTGACTGAGCCATCCAGGAGGCCCCACCCCCAGAAAATTTTTTTAAAAAATAATTATAAATTCACAGAAAGTTGCAAAAAATAGTACAAAAGAGTTCTGGTGAATCCTTTACCCAATTGCCCCAAACGGTTATATCTTACATAATTATAGTACAATATCGAGTCCAGGAATTTGACATTGGTACAATGCATGTGTATAGCTCCATGCCATTTTATCACATACATGAATTCATGCAATCACCAGTGTAATCAAGATATAGGCCTATTCCATCCCCCACAAAGATCCCCTTCATGTTATTCCTACACAGTCCCTAACCCTTGGCAACACACTAATCTGTTTTCCATTGCTAATTTTGTCACTTTGGTAATGTTATATAAATACTATTCCTCTTTCTTGCTGAGTAGTATTCCACGGTATGGATATACCACAGGTTGTTTAACCACTCACCTCCTGAGGGATATTTTTATTGTTTCCAGTTACGGGCTATTACAAATAAAGCTGCTGTGATCAGTCGTGTGCTTATGTGGAACATAAGTTTTCATTTCTCTGGGATAAATGCCCAGGAGTGCAGTTGCTGGGTCATAGGTAAATGTATGTTTAGTTTTTAAAGCAGCTACCAAACTGTTTTCCAGAATGGCCGTGGCATTTTAGTGGCTGTGGCATTTCCAGAATGGCTGTGGCATTCCCACCATCATTGTGTGAGAGATCAAATTTCTCCATATCTTTGCCAGCATTTGTGATTATTACTATTTTTTATTTTAGTTACTCTAACAGGTATTTAATGATATCTCAATGTGGTTTTAATTTGCATTTCTCTGATGGTTAGTCCTGTTGAACACCTTTTCATGTGTCATCATATATCCTCTTGGTTTGAATGTCTCTTCGTGTCTTTTGCTCATTTTCCAGTTGGATTGTTTAATGTAGAGTTTTGAGAGTTCTTCCAGTAGAGTTTTTCAATCTCATTCTTCTAAGCACAGAACCTAATGTAATTTAGCTCTAACTAGCAGGATGTTGACTCTAAACTCACCCTTGCTTCAGCATGGATGCCAGGATCCGATTATTATTATTTAGCAGGGGCATTTCCCCACCTGGATCACATCTGAAAATATTTTGCTCTATCCTCTGCTCTTCCCTGGCCAGGCCCTGAGCCATACCCACGTGTTACCTCCAAAGTAGTCTGGACTTTAGCCTCGGATTCCCTCCCAACCTCATCACTGGTTTTGTGAGCTGAAACCAAGCCTTGGGAATTGTACCTCTCTTCCTGGATTCGCATGCTCTGGATGCCAGATGAATGAATGAATGAATGAATGAATGAATGAATGAATGAAGTAACCAATCAATGCTAGTGGGCTCCTTTGCACTGTTATTGTATGCAGCAGTCAATTTGGGATTTGTCTGTTATCCCAAAAGGCAAAGAGTAGATCAGAAAGGGCAGAAACTTAAAAATCTAACATCGTAAAGACAGCGGCCCCCCTTTGACCGTTGTCAGTTTGCAGCCAGGGGAAGGAAAGAAATGAGCGTGGGAGAGAAGGCGTCCAGGAGGAAGTCTTGGGTACACTGTATACCACCCAGGACACTGGCTTCCCCTGACGCACTTGGAGTCTCACTCGGGCAGGTTATTTTTACCTGCCACATTGTAAAGTCAATGTTTGCACTTTGATAAGTGTCCTGTCCAGTGGCTTGTTCTAAACTCTGGCCTGGGAGGTCACCCTAAGAGCCTAGGGAGTGGTTTGTGAGAGAGAAACTGAGTGAGTGAAATGTAAGAATCCGGTAGCTGCCAGGCTTGAGAGCCATGACAGAGCAAACGATCCCCATGCTTTGTGTCCCACTGCTTGCATCACCTGCTCATGAGCTGTCAGTGGAATTTGTGGAATGGATTGTTCTCCCCAAGTCACCCAATATCCCTGAACAATGGGAGCACACATTCGTCGTTTTATGTAAGAGCTAAGAAGGAATGTTCCCTCCACCCAATCAGAAGCAGGGTGCCTGCCAGCAGCCTGCCTGCCTTCTCTCTCTTGCTCCTGCCCCTCGTCCTCCCCTCCTGTCTTTTTTTTTTTTTTAAGATTTTATTCATTTATTTGACAGAGAGAGAGACACAGCGAGAGAGAGCACAAGCAGGGGCAGAGGGAGAGGGAGAAGCAGGCTCCCCGCTGAGCAGGGAGCCCGATGCGGGGCTCGATCCCAGGACCCTGGGATCACGACCTGAGCCAAAGGCAGACGTTTAACGACTGAGCCACCCAGGCGCCCCTCCCCTCCGGTCTTTAAGGGAGAAAAGAAGAGGAAGGAAAAGAAAGATAGAGCCATTGTGCACAGGTCACCAGGAGAATGATGTCACAGGTTGGAGGGAAGATAAATGTGAAATATGGGGGGAAAAAAGGGTACCCTGGGTTTTTCACTCCATAGAATTCAGTTTTACTTCTTTGTTGGTTTTTCTCATTTAATACCCTTGTACGAAAAAGAAAAGGCGTTAAAGTATGAGGTAACGACTGTGAAGCCCTACTTTACTCAGACATTGGGATTTAGCGGCTGAGAACGTCCCTTTCTCGAACCGTGACATTTCAGGGTTCTTTCGGTTGCACATAACACAAAGCCCAACTCACTCAGGGTTCAGCAGTAAGCGACCTAGGGACTCAACCCTGGAAAGTTCAGAAGCAGGGGTCTCAGGGTGGATTTGATTTAGCGCTTTGCCAGACATCTTTTCTTTACCTTCTGTGGTGCCCATTTCAAACTAAGGCTGGTGCCGTGTTTTGGTGTTCATCTCCGGAGAGAGGAGGCCTGTCCTCCGTGCTGGCTGCTCACCCATGACCAGCCCCCTCGGGGAAAGGTCATGTGCCGATTGGCCGAGGCTGGGCTTTCCTGACGGGAGAGGGGGTGCGGTCACCAAGGCTGCTTCACTGAAGGAAGGGGGCCGTGGATCCTGGGCGACAACCCCAAAGCTCACCCCCTCCTCGCTACATCTCCTAAAAAATGCTCCTTCTAATTCCTGCACTGAGGGGTAAAACTCCTTTAAGAGGGCCTCAAGCCTCTCGTTCTGAAACTTGAGATACAATTGAAATAGTAACAGTGTATTTACACTAAAATGTGTCAAGGGAGTAAATTTTTTGCTGTTGTCAATATCAAGTGAGCTAAGAAGTAATTTTATTTCTCCATAATTGAATTAAATTAACTCATGAGCCCCAGTTCCTTCTTGATAATAGAAAATGAAATCTTTCTAAGTCAAAGGAAATTCAATTACTTCTCATTTAAAAAAAAAACCCAGTCCTTCTTTTTTGAAAAGCACTGGTTAGCATTTAATGGCCCTTCCTCCATGGGACTTCAAAATACCAGGACACAGCCCCCTATTCCCACCCTACCCCCCTTTTACCCTTAATCTTCTCTTTAGCTCTTCTGCTGAAGAATATGACCTTTACCATGACTGTCTGCTTTGGGAGGTTTTCCTTCCCCAGAGCTTCACAGTAGTCCGGGGAAAGGGTTTATAACACACCGTGGCAGGTACCAGCTCCCTGATGGGTATGAGGGATGATGTCTGCCAAGCTATTCCATGTAAGAGCCAGTGGGAGCATGTTTCTGTCGTGGCCACTCCTGGGGGTGCTGCCTGCCCTTGCCAGTCAATCAAGACCAGCAGATTCTTGGGGCGCCTGGGTGGCTCAGTCGGTTAAGCATCTGCCTTCGGCTCAGGTCATGATCCCAGGGTCCTGGGATCGAGCCCTGCGTTGGGCTCCCTGCTCGGCAGGGAGTCTGCTTCTCCCTCTCCCTCTGCTTTTTCCCCCATTCATGTCCTCTCTGTCTCGCTCTCAAATAAATAAATAAAATCTTAAAAAAAAAAAAAAAAGACCAGCAAATTCTCTCCGAGAACTCCAGCACATCAGGACAAGAACTATGTCAGGATGTGACTCTAGTCTCGGGAAACCCAGTCCTTCTTGAGTAAATTCGTACTTCAAGATTCTTCTCCTCTTCCCACCCTTTTTTTATTTTCTTAACCTTCCCCCTAAGGATAAGATGATCTTGGTTCCTGGCACTGTCACATATGATCTGGACATTTAAGGAGTGGGCAGCTAACTGCCGAGTCCCCCCTAAGGATAAGATGATCTTGGTTCCTGGCACTGTCACATATGATCTGGACATTTAAGGAGTGGGCAGCTAACTGCCGAGTCCTCCTTGTGGCTGTTGGCGTCTGTCCCCACTGCCACCCCCTGCCGATGTCCATAGTCTGCCCCCGCCCTTTGGCTTCCCGTCACACACACGGTGATAAGAGCATTCCCAGTCCACTGGCTTTCTCTCAGCTGCTCTTGCCCAGTCTCATGGGGGGAAGGGCATGAGGGAAGCCATGGGAAAGCTTCGGCTGCTCTTCTGTCTTGCTCCGACATGACAGGAAGCATGTACTTGGTGGTGGTGGGTTTATCTTAGATTGTCTCTCAGCTCAACTTGTCCTGCTCTGTGAAAGCCCCTTGTGTTGGCATCGGCTCTCCGTGAGAATATTTCTTTGCAGGATTCTTGGTGGGGAGTGGAAGCACAAGTCACGTGCTCCAAGAGCCTCAAAGCCTTCTGAGGGTCTCTATCACCCCTACTTTCTGTCAGCCACTCTGACCAATGACTTACTCTCTTTCTTGCTTTTCTTCCAGCCCAGCAAAGATTTTCTTTCTTTCTTTTTCTTTTCTTCACTTTTTTTTAATTACCTCTCTGTCTAGCTTGGAGGGAGGTTTACATAATTTTCTTTCTTTTGAAAATCTTTGTTATGGCACAAATCCTACTGCTTAGTAGTTTTGCTCTAGGTCTGGATGTTGACTGCAGTCATGTGATTTGGAAGTATTTTCTCAGCTTTAGCAACACAGCAGAACTTTCTTACAAAAACTTTAATGGTATAGTGGACCCAAGCTTTATTTCTTATTGGTTTTATCCCTATAAACACATTTAGCACAATTTCCCCCTTTGCTGGGGCTCCTGGCCCAATTCTCTTGAGGTGAGTGGCGCTATCTAGAGATCTAATATCTACTTTTTTCCTCAGAGATTCTCATTTTTAACAGTGAAAAAACAAGGTCTTGTCTGAAAAAGTCATTGCTTACAAAGCAAATGGGAAGGCATTTAGGGGTAAATGACAACTGTCTCTGCTGTGTCAGTAGTGGGCTGGTTTTGTAAGGCACAGATTAACAAAGTGTTGAATAAACATCACATAAAGTTGAAAACTTGGGTGTGTGGTGTTGCAGGTTCCTGTTCATTTCCCGTCTTCTGTGGGGGATTGGCTTCATGAAAGGCACCTTCAGTTTCTGGGTTCCTGGAGCAAGGCTTAGCTCAGCTGCCCTGCCAGCTCCCAGCCACAGCTCGACGCTTCCTCCCCCTGGGTCTTGGTAATAGAGACACACCTCTTGGTTCCTTCAGTGCTTAACCAAGAGTAAATACCACTGAAATGGGGAAGAGCTTCCTGAGGATTAAAATTTGTGTATAGTTCTGTTATATTTAGTATATTTAGGTACTTCTCTTTTCTCAGTGGACGTTGAATTGAACATTCTAGGCAAATAAGCAATAAACACTTACATGGTGAAACACATGACTTTGAGGAAGAAAAGCCCAGGGAGAGATTTTGTCTCCAGGGAAAGGAACACAGCACATACGATCTTTAATTCTCACACCCATACAGGCTTCCAATAAAGTGAACGTGGAGCAGGGAGGACCCGATGAACAAGTCACATGCAGATGAGAAGCCCTGCTCCCTTTTTGCGTCTGTATCCTGTGGACAGAGATGGTCACACAGGGGAGGCTGGACACTGACCAGCTGGGTAATATCCTCCTCAGTAGCTTCTCAGTAGACTGAAGAGTATAAAAAGGACGAATTGCGAAGGACTGTACTTGCTTTCCCAGATTGCCGTCAGATATATTAAATTCACTGGAAACCGGGACTCCCGAGCTTCCTACGGTCGTAATAGCTCTACTGTTTGCTTGGCTTTGCAATTTCGACTTCCAACACCCTCCCACTCAGAGTGTACATGGAATAGAATCTTTTTACAGGGTAGCTGATGAGACGACAGGATTTCCATGAAAACGTTAGTCAAACGGTGACTCTAAAAAGCACTGATTGTTGGGAATACAATCCAATAGAATAACCCAGTCAAGTGAGGGGTTGGCCTGTGTCCCAACACCAGCACCATAAGGCGCTCAGCTATATTCAGTCTTCAAATATAGACATATAATTCACCCCTTGGAGATGCTTGTGAGAATTTTACAACACCACACGAATAATTCGATGGTACACCACAGTATAAATCAGTGATGAAGAGCACAGGTTTCCGAGTCACAGCCTTGGGTTTAAATCTCAGCTCAGCCACTTTCTTAACCCTGCAGGATACTTTCACCTTGTCCAAATTTGAGCCTTCCCTCCAGCACACTGCCGGTGGCATACACATGTGTCATGAGATTTGTCCTCTCAGCCCTGGAGGTGCTGTGACGGGAAAAAGATTGGAAATATCACCATCATCTGAACTTCTGCATCTATCAATCATAACTGTATTTTCCTCAGGGGGTTGGTTTAAAGATGAAATGCAGATCCCCCTGCAAAGCATTCAGTATCGCCCTTAGTCAGTGATTACCAAATGACAGCCTGCCCCAAGCACACGGTCTTTGGCCAGCCATCCAGTTCAGCTAGCATTTGGAAAATGTTGAACAATTACCTCCCACTCCATGGCACAAAGAGAATCCTGAAAGCCATGAGCAGAGCCATCAAACAGCTCTTTTCCAGTAATGCCAACGATGACGGCCATTGGAACCCACCCCAGTTCTCTCTGTCCACGGACTCCTGAAGTCTTCCTTCTTTTACGATAAGTAGCTGGAAGGCATAAACGCTCCAGTCTCCACTGGGAGACTTTGTTCCACTGGGAATAAAATAACTTCCTCAAATTTTAGAGCTGGCTGCAGGAATACACAGGAAGAATCAAGGCTGGGATTTCTTTCTTCTTAAACAGCAGATCTTGATGAGCTATTGTTTTGTTTCATTTTACTCATGGACACCTTATAATAGTTGACTTCACCTGTTCTGTGTTTACTGTAGGGACATTTTTTTAGGGTCAGAAAAATGGTAAGACTATACAAGGCAGAAGCATACTCGAATTGAAATAAGCACTTAAAAACCTATGGGAGGTTTAGCGATTTCCCAGAGAAACCCAATGGAGTCAAAACCCATCGTCCTCATCACTCTAAAGCCTGCTTCCAGGCTGTTCCCATTTGTCTTCAAGGAGCCGGCTGCTCCACAAGCTCCACATTTAGGTGACAGGGGACAGAAGACAGAGGTGAAGAGTCTCTGTCTCATCTTAGAGAACACTGTTGTGGAAAAGCCAAGAATGAGCTCCCATCTGGTGCAGAACATTTAAAAGCAACATACCTTGCAAAGGTTTTGTATTTAAAAAGAACAAAATGGTAAGGATAGAAAACCACTACCCTCTCTTATTGACCCAGTCAGCTGTTTGAGGTGAAAAATAATAACCAAATATTACATGTACTTAATTTTTTTAAAAAATAAGAGTTGGCACTCAGTGTGGGAAGCAGTCAACTAAGTGGAAATTAAGGGGGGTCTTCCTTTAGCCAAGTTTTATTTTTGCAACGGTCGAACACACTCCTGTGTCTGGGGTAGTTAGTGTCTCAGAGCAGGAATGAGAATCTGGAGGCCAGCTTTCTAATGCCTGCTCTGCAACTTCTTAGCTCTATGACCCCGAGCAGGGCAAAGAAAATCTCGCATCATTCTCCATTTGTAAAATTTTTGTTTATAAAGTTCAAGCATTTATGGAGTGACATTCAGAGAGCCAGGGGTCCGGTAAAGGAGATTATGCATGGAAGGACCCGGCCGTGTGCGTGGTATACAGTAGGTACACTATAAGGTGGCATTCTGGTGTGTGTGTGTAGAGCGCAGAGTCCCAGGATTTCAGAGCTGGGTGGATTCTTAGGGGTTATTACCTATCTTTCATTTATCTTTGCTTATCTCTACTCTGACCCATTTGCATTGATTTTGCAGATTAAACTCTCATAAGACAATCTTATCCCTGCATTTCCAACCTATGGGGGAGTGGGCGTGACCCTCATCGGAGCCCCCAAGTTCAAACATATGTGCTTACTGTAGTCCTATCCCTTACCATGTGGCAGATATTTGTTGTCTGTTTCCCCTTGATCGAGAATGCCTTGATGTGCAGGTCCTCTCACTTTTTGAGCTCTATTTCCCCTGGACCTAGCACGATGTCTGATGCAAAGCAGTAGCTCAGTAAATAGTTGTTGTCGAGGTCAGTTGAAACATAAAGAAGTAGCCCAATCCATGTGAACTTAGACTTCGCCAACACGTAGTAAGTTAGCAGAAAAGTGGTATCCTCAATGGGACCTGGACAAACGATGGGACACAGAAGGGCCAGCCCCCATCACTGTTACCCAGCACTGTGGCGGTGGTCAGCTTCATTACCCTCAGCTTCTCATGCGGCTCATAAGAGAGGTGCGATTTCTGACAGGTGCTCTGCCCCTTGTCCTGGGTCTTCCTGCCCTTAAAGCCAGTCTGGCTCCTTTCCAAGGGGGCTAACCCATGCAGGCTGTGCTTCTCAGTCTCCCTAGTCAACTGGCTTCTGGCAGGTTTGGCCAGTGGGAGATGAATGATTGGAGGGAGGGAGGGGGGAAGGCAGAGCCAGGCTGTTTCTCCTGTCTCTTGATCTCAGACGGCGTGATGGTGGTTTGGTCTTTTCTAGTGCACTAGATCCTGCCTGCCGTGTCTCCGTCAGACAGATCTACAGCCTCCTGGGGGTGGGGGTGCAGGTGGCTTCCCACAGTGGCTTGGGAGCTCATCAATCCCCTCTGTTACATTCCCTGTGTTTTAAATACTTAGAATAATTTCTGTTTTCCTGGATCGACCCTGAATGATACTCATACCACTCTAGCTTACCACG